TGCCGCAACAGCCTGATGCAAGCCCCTAGCAGCAGCAGCCCTGCAGCATGCAGCCCCAGCAGCAGCAGCCGGCAGCACCACCCAAGCAGCAACACCGCCGAGCCCAGCAGCAACAGCAGTGGCACCAACAGCAGTGTGCCAGCAGCAGCGGCCGTAGCAGCGCAGCAGCCAGCAGCAATCAGCAAAGCGGTGCCCACGACTTGGACATGGTTTTTGTTTTTTGTTTTAATATTCCGCATGGCTTTCATCTTGGGAGCTGGCCAGAGATGTTGGAGTTGATGCCAAATCAGGCAGGGAAATCAGTAGCAAGCAGCAAGGCAAACCTCACCAGTACCAAAATGTTACTGACAAGATTACCTGAAAATGTGTATGGAAGATAGAATCCTGAAATGAAGTATGGACATGATCTACGTTTGCGCGCATTTTGGGCATGTTTTCTTTCGATTTCGTTTTTTTGCATAGCTTGGCTCATGGGTGCCCTTTTTGGGGGGTGACGAGGCGGGCTTTGCTTCATCATGCACAAGTTTTTGTGGGCATGGCAGCATGCTGTGGGCAGGTGCGGGCCATGATCCCGACGAGTGGATGAGGCAGGTTGTGCAGCTGCAACTTGCTGGTTGAGCGCTGCCACCTTGCTGCACGGTGCTTTAGTTCAAAGTTGGAGAGATTTACACTGTCGCCAAGCAAGCCCCCCGCCAACCGCCCCGCCGCTCCATCGGCGGAGGACGGCTTCACTAGGAGTTTCCTGGAGCTTTAGTTGCCGGAAGCTTTGTCTCGTGCAGGCGCGAAGACCAAAAGCTGCCTTGAAGGAAAATGAGGCGCGATTTGAGATCGGCTCGTAGCTCAGACGTGCTCCACTCTGTTTCGTGATCCAGCCTGGCAGGAAAGCTTGTGGGATCGTCAGCTGCGACTGGCACCAGAGCGGCTCGAGATCGCGCAGGACCGTTTTGAGACGGTCGAGGCGTCTTGGCACCCTTTGGAAGAGGCAGGCTTTCCTTTATCATTCCTCCATTTTTTCAACATGAGCATGCCAGCATGCTGTTGGCAGGTGCGGGCTATGGTCCAGCCTCCAACAAGTGGATGAGGCCTGTTGTGCAGCTGTTTTTCTCGCAGGTTGGCATTGCAGCTTGCTGGTTGAGCATACCTCCGTTGCCACCGTGCGGCGTAGCGCTTTGGTTCAACGTCTGGAGAGATTTACAATGCCGCCAAAGAAGCGCCCCGCCGCTGGGCCGCCGGAGGACGGCGTCAAAGGGAGTTTCCTGGAGCTTCAGTTGCTGGAAGCCTTTTCTTGTGCAGGAGCTAATGCCAAAAGCTGCTAGATCCGGAGCTGAGGCGCGATTTGAGATCGGCTCGTAGCTTAGACTTGCCCAACTGTGTTCTGCGATCCAGCCTGGCAGGAAAGTCCCTCGCAGCGTCAGCTGCGACTGGCACAAGACGGGCTCGAGATGGCGCAGGGCGGTTTGAAGATCGCGCAGGACGATTTGAAGAGCGCGAAGGACGAGTTGAAGAAGGCCAAAGCGGCCAAGAAGGTCGAGGCGGCCAAGAAGAAGGTCGAGGCGGCCAAGAAGGAGGTCGAGGCGGCCAAGAAGGAGGTCGAGGCGGCCAAGAAGGAGGTCGAGGCGGCCGAGAACAAGGTCAACGCGAGTCCAGCCCAGGCCAGGTCAGCTAGGGTGACGGAGCTCTCCAGGCTAGTTGTGTTTGGGGCATGAGGGTCTCGAACTTCTAGATTTGGTGTTGTAGACGCTCGCCGCTTGAGGAATTGCCGGCCCCGACTGTGGACACGCAGGTCAAGCTCCCCGAGCTTCAGGAGTTCAAGGCCAACGAGATGCTCGACGTCAGTGGGTTCCGGAACTTCGTGGCGCCCAACACGACCGCTGACAGACCGCTCTTCCTGCGAAAGCATCTCCTCAACGTGCACACGAAGGCAGTGGAGGCTTTGACGGTGGAGAAGATTCGTTTGGTGTCGCTGGTCGGCTGCCCCGGCACCGGCAAGACGTGGTGCGGGTGGCTGGTGGCCTACACCCTGCAGAAGGCGGACACGAAGACCCTGCACCTGACCATCCGGAACACACACGTGACGGCCATCGCCGACTTCACAGAGAAGAAGCAGTACGAGGACGTGAGCTGGAACGGGCACATGCTCAAGCGGGTCCTGAGAGAGTCGGAGTGCCAGGTCTGCATCGTGGACGTGAGCATGGACAAGGCGGAGCAGGCCCAGGACATCTTCATCGGGGTCCGGCAGCTGATCGAGCAGGCGCGAGAGTTCCCCACCGTGAAGTTCGTGGGTCTGATGTCTGGCCACGGTGAGTCCAAGATCATCGGCAAGCCGTTCATTGAGGAATACACCAAGCCGCTGGTTCTTTGGAGCTGGACAGCAGGGGAGGTGCAGCAGCTATGTACGAAGCTGAAAGTTGATGTTCTGCCTGCGTATGCGGTTTGTGGTGGATCCGTGCGATTTCTCTTCCAACCTTGCCGTGACCAGACGGGCATCCAAAGAGCTGTGCGGGGCTTGGAGCAAGCAGACCTGGCAAAGTTGTTGGCCCTGGACCTGGGTGTGGACGACGTTGACAAGAAGCACCGTACCGGGCTTCTGTCGTTCTTTCCCAGAAAAGGTTCCAACGAAGACGATGAGAGCTTCGAGGAGGGCGTCAGCGCAGCACAGCCGATGCCCCGCTCCGACTTCGTCATCAAGTGCATCAAGGAGAACAAGTATGCGAAGTTCGAGGATGTGCTGGCCATGTACACGGAGCTCGAGAAACTGAACGCAGGCGCTGCCGGCAGCACCTTCGAGCTCTTGGTCCACCTGTTCTGGCGGGATGCTGCCGTACGGAAGGACGAGGTCACCCTCACACTTGGCAAGCAAGGCACCGTGGACCACCAGCATGTGTCCGTGAATTGCAGCCAGTTCATACCCAACCCTGGTAGAATCGAAGACTATGATGCGGAGGGCACAGTGTTCGATGTCCCAGCAGTGTAAGTTGTTAGAGGCCATGTATGTTTTTGGGAGGTCCTTGCCATGCGATTCGACATTAAGGCATCGGAGGTTTCCGGTGGGGCCCTCCATCTTGACATCTCGAGCCTCCAGATTCGCACGGGTGCTTGATTGCAGGATATTGCTGATTGCTGCTGGCTGCTGCGCTGCTACGGCCGCTGCTGCTGGCACACTGCTGTTGCTGCTGGGCTCGGCG